AAAAAAAAACTAGCAAATCCACTGTAAAAACTAATTAAAACTGAATTAAAAGAAAAAAGTCACAACAAAATAAAACTAAACTGCAATGAAAAATCCAAAACTATTATAACCTTGCCTCCCCGCCCAGATCAAAGAGCTGACAGGAAACATCCGGAGCCAGTTCCCCTCCACGTCCAGCCTGTCCTCCATCCCCACCAGCTCCGACTCCGATGCATCCTTGGGCAGCACCCCGTCCGAGGAGAAACCGTCTGCGGCCGCCGCCATGAGGGAGAACACCAAGGCCATCAAGAAGCTGCTGCAGTGGGTGCAGAGGAAAACCAGGAAGTGAGTCAGATATGAAACCTCGGAAAGATAAGAAGGCTCGTTGTGTTCTGACATCGTGTCGTGTTGCAGGTAYGGCGTGGCGGTGCAGGACTTTGGGAAAAGCTGGACCAGTGGTTTGGCCTTCCTGGCCGTCATCAAGTCCATTGACTCCAGTCTGGTGGACATGAGGAAGGCCCTGTTGAGAAGCCCCAGAGAGAACCTGGAGGACGCCTTCAGGATAGCCCACTACAGTCTGGGTATCCCTCGGCTGCTGGAGCCTGAAGGTACCACAAAGACCGCTGGTTTTACTTGTTGACTCCCTTGTATGGCTGAAACCATGACTCAGCTGTTGGCTCGCTCTGTAATTCCAGACTTATGACAGAGTCTGATAAAAGGATAAGATGTGATCAAAGAGCCAAACAATAATAAACACAAGCTGAGTCAGAACGCTCTGTAGTTTATAGTGGGAAAGATGATCCTGTTGCTGTTTAATTCTTTATCAGATAATAATGAGGTACATTTTACTTCCTTAAAAGCAGCAGGATTTTTATGAGGGTCAAAAATAACAAGAACATAAAAACATTTTTAAAAAAACCTTTGAGTTACAAGATTCTRACTAAAGCAAGATGAGGTCAGTCAAATGTAGAAGCGGCTTTTCATTCACGTTCATCAGGAATGCCAGGAATTTTTCCACTAAAAGAAGAACAAAGATCAACATTTTTCTCCTAACTGGCTTCAGCAGAAAAATTACTATGTTTCTACTGTTACACTGAACCACCTGACAGGCAGGGGCGGAGCTAGACTTTTTTGCCGAGGTGTTTTTAAGRGGGGCACGTTCAAATAAAGAAAAGCAATTGAAGATGGTCCCCACATCTAATTCGAAATGGCTTTAATTTAGCTGTTTTAAGAAACATTGAGCCAAAATGTGATGGACTTGCGACCTGCCCAGTGTGTCCCCTGACCCTCGCACTGTGACTGCTGGATATGGGCACCAGTGACTCCTGTGACCCCAAAATTTTGTTTGACTATAGCTAAAATAGATACAAAAATCATGCAGCCATTTTTAGACAATCATGGCTAAAGATTAGTGTAGAAGTAACCAAAAAACAATATTTACCAAATTCTAAATGCTAATCAAAAATTCAAGATGGACACCACAGCTAATTTCAAAGAGGGTATAATTAAACCATTTTAAGACTTATTGAGATTAAATATGTGTGTGTGATGGATTTGCAACCTGTCCAGGGTGTACCCTGCCCCTTCCACTGTGACTGCTGGATATGGGCACCAGTGAGCCCCATTACCCTGAAAGGAAGAAGAGGGTATAGATAATGGATGRATGGATGGAGATTAAATTYGCTGTGGATTAGCTAAGAATGATTACATTGTTGATTGATGCTAATCCCAAATAAAGCTAACCACTAATGCTAATGCTAATTTTACAAAGGGCTATAATTTGGCTATTTTAAAATTTATAACTGAAAATTGTAGGTAGTACAGTAGTATCAGAAAACAATCTTGAAAAATATATAAATGGATATTCAAAATACAAGATCTCCACCCACTTGTCAGTTATTTGGGGGTGGCACTTCTCACCCTTACCACTCCTCTGGCCCCGCCCCTGCTGAGAGGAAAGGACCAGGTGACTTCTGGACACAGTTCACAGGAAGTGTTTGTGTTTGTCCACCTTTCAAAGTAATGGTCCAGCTTTAACAGAAAATACAGTATCTGACTTTATTATTGTATATTATATTATATATTCTATTTATTATTATTATATTTTCTCTCCTCAGATGTGACGATGAACGCACCGGATGAGCAGTCCATCATCATGTATGTTTCTCAGTTCCTGGAGCACTTCCCTGGCTTACAGGAGGTAGGGARGTGTCGATACAAATCCACTGGTCGACTCTGACAGGTGAACATGTTCCTGTTAACCTCTCTATTCCTCTGACAGACCGAGGAACCCAGCCAGGTGATCGAAAGGAGTGTCTCCATGGGCCGACTCAACTTCCGCGACACCGAATTGGACCACCTGAGGAACGGCGCTCATCTCAGCAGAGTCAAGCAGTGCTCCAGCATGTTTGAGCGAAGCTTCTCTAAACCTCCTCCTAAAGTCCTGATTTCTTCGGTGTCAGAGGACCGGAGTGTTCTAACGCCACGCCTCAAGGCGCCTGCCACTCGCTCCTGGTCCAGTGAAGACTTCTTGACTGACTCCTCCCACATTGAAGACGTCTCCAACAGCATGAACCCCAAAGATCAGGCCAGTAACGTCCTGAAAGACTCGACCTGTGATTCCCCTCGTCAGTCCTATGCTCACTCGCCTTCATCGGTGCCCGAGTCACTGATCGATGATTCTGCCATCAACTCACCGGACTCCTGGGTGGAGAATGAGCTCRTACCTGAGAGGTTTTCAGAGAGTCACAGTGACGTTTCTTTGTGGGACAGTGGGAACACCTGGGACGTTTACCGGGCCACACCTGTGGACGTGACTCCAGTTGATGAAGGATTCATCTCATCCGTGGAGGACAGAGCACCCGATGAACAGTCCATGACCGAGTCATACGTGGATGAAGGGATAAGCTCAATGGACAGCAACCAGGAGAGAATCCACAGGGAGGCCGAGCAAACACAAGAGACGGTGATAAAGGAAAACCAGGAAGACCTAGAGAATCACAACCAGGATCTGGTAACAGATCCAACACCTAATCTGAGAGAACTCGACATAACAGAACACAGAGAACCAGAACCCTCTGTAACATCATCGGAGACAGAGAAACTAAGGAGCTCTGGGGATGAATATCTTCTCGAAGTGGATCCTTTGAACCAACTTGAGTCCGATACAGAAACCAGTCCTGGGCAGGGACCTTTAAAGGAACAGGAACAAGATGAAACAGATACAGACAGAAAGATCGACGGTCAAACTGATTTCAGATTTACCTCTGTAGAAGAAGCTGAAGGTTGGGACACAGAATTTTCAGAAGACAAAAGAGCGGACTCCAGAAAAGAGATGGATGGTTTAAATGAAAGAATTGGAACACAGACAGAAAAGCAGGATGAAGAACTTCAGAAGGACTACCAACACTGTGAAGAAAGCACCAGCTTAGAGGCTTTAAAAGACCCACATCCAACCAACGACGAGGGAACATCTAAAACTGTTCTGAACGTTCCTCTGATCTCCATCACCAGTGAGCCGGAGGAGGAAGAGCTAGAGTCTGACCAAGGGGAACCAGGTAAAGATCTCAGAGAAGAAGGGAACTCCGAGGTCCAAAGTCCTCATTGTCCAGAAGGACTAAACCATGATCAAAGTGAGGATGATGATCACACAGAAAATGAGCATTCGGACAACGAACTAGAAGGCAACCATGGTATATACTCAATGGGTAACAACGATAAAAGTGACATTGAACAGGAGGAATGTTCTCTTGGGGATGATTCTCAGGAAGAAAGGAAAGTTATTGTCCAAAATTCTTCTCCATCCTCAGAAAACCAGCCTGTAAATCCTGACAGCAAAGATCTGTCTGATGGACACCAAGACAAACCAACTGATGGCTTTCCTGAAACCGAGACAGAATTTACCCAGGAGAACATTCTGGATCCTATCGGCATCCAGGAAAACATTCTGGATCCTATTGACATCCAGGAGGACATTCTGGATCCTATCGACATCCAGGAGAACATTCTGGATCATTTTGACATCCAGGAGAATGTTCTAGATACTTTTGACATCCAGGAGAACGTTCTGGATCTGGACAATACCCAGGAGAACATTCTGGGTCCATTTGACTTCCAGCAAAACATTTTGGATCTAGTAGACACCCAGCAAAACATTTTGGRTTCAGGCTCTTCCGAGCTGAATGGTCGGATAGAAACGCCATATCCTGAACCCGTTATTATGTCCAGAGACACTGACCAGTTTTACTTCGATTTGAATCGAAGTTCTCCCACAGAACACCTGCTTGGTGACCTAGTGGAACCTATGGATCTGTTCTACCCTGACCCTGTAGAGCTCATGCCTCCAGAACCTGATGACACGCATCAGTGGCCTTCGGTTCTAAGTGTATCAGCTCTGCAGCCKGCACCGCCTTCAAACAGACCAGAGGAAGGACTGTTTGACMTGCTGGATGAAGATTTCATGGGTGAAGAAGAAGAAGAGGATGTAAATGTAAGAKTTCTTGGTTTTCATGTAGTTTTTGATAATTTAGAAGCTAGACTGAGTTTGATAAGAACCTGGCAGAGTCCCACACAGTTCCTCTACGATRTATTCTGATTGGTCCATTGTTTTGTTCTAGATTCTGATTGGTCTATTACTTTGTTAAAGATTCTGATTGGGCCATCTATTTGTTGGACTGATCAGTCACTTTGTTCCAGATTCTGATTGGTCCAACACTTTGTTACATATATTCTATTTAGCCAATTCCTTTGTTTCTGAAATTCTTATTGGTCTCAAATTTTGTTTGAGAGATTCTGATTGGTCTATCACTTTGTTCCAGATTCTGATTGGTCCATCATTTTGTTCCAGATTGTGATTGGTCCATCATTTATTTCCAGAGATTCTGATTGGTTCAACACTTTGTTACATGTATTCTATTTAACCAATTCCTTTGTTTCTGAAATTCTTATTGGTCTCAAATTTTGTTTGAGAGATTCTGATTGGTCTATCACTTTGTTCCAGATTCTGATTGGTCCATCATTTTGTTCCACATTGTATTGCAGTGACATTGGACACAGAACAGATTACATTTTATTATTCAGTGTATCATCTAACTTTACATTTATCTGGACAAAGTTTGTTTAGCAGCTGGGCCACATTCAAATTTATTCAAAACACTCTGTATGCTTGTGTCATATACAAAACTCTTTCTTCGGTAACACGCTGTTCTCAGAGGGTAAGCATATCAACATATTCATCAGTTCTGTTAATGACAGCTGATGTCATTAACACAGCCTTAAGAAAGTTATAATCTTTTCATCCATTAATAAAAATTACGAGTTTCAGTAGTATAGGCTCCGCCCCCTGAAGCCCTGAACAGAATATGAACCAAATGATGGGTTTAGAAATTACAGAACCCCTTAGGCTTAGATTAATATTTACCTAAATGTCARTTCAAGCAGATTCAAAACCAATAATAGTTTTTTGATGCTTTTTTTTTAACTGAACTTTGATTTGATTTATTTATTTAAAAGGAGACAGCACACTTTAAAAAAACACGAGACAATTTATAAGTTAAAAAAGCTAGGATTATCCAAAAGGCTACTTTTCATCTGTAGTCCTCTGGCCGTGATGTTTAAAAAAGCAATAAAATACAAGAATATAAATACAACACAAATGCACAATTAAGGACCAGAATTGGACAAAATAAATCCAAACATAATAAGTGAAAAAGAAAAAAAAATCTTTCTATAGATATGTTTTAAAGAAGCAGGGAGTTATGAATGTGATCAGTAAAAAAAGAGTTTTTTTTTTTACAGCGTTATTATTATTTCTGTTTGAAATGAATAAATCGACTCAGTAAAAGTCACATTATCTCATAGTTTCAGTCTGAAGCGGATGTATTTGACTGGTTTGGTTCTTTAAGTAAAATCATCTGAATATATTTTTATATTTAGGAGTTAATTTGCTTTGAGTCCTGATGTTAACGAACTGAAGGAAAAACCTGTCAGAGATGATTTATTTGACTCCTCTCCTCCTGATCAGGTGACTGATGAGTCCAGTCAGAACCCCGCCGACCCGTCTCCATCCCAGGATCAGTGTGTTCTGTGCGGGGTGGCGATCGGACCCCAGGACCCCGACGCTCCAGCGGATGGCGGAGGAAGCTCAGACTTTCTGAGGTACGTGTTCTATTCTGGTACTGTGAGAACCAGACTGGACCCGGGGGACACAGTGGGACCGTTCTGGCCCAGATCCTCTCTGCCGGCCCAAATATTTCTATAAATGTTCTGAGAGCGGTTTTCTGTGGAGGATAAAGAACACAGAGGATTAAACCTGTTAATGGGTTTTTATTCATTAGAAATGTAGCAGATGGACTCGGTTCCTGTTCCTGCGTCAGAAATAAAGTTTTAATACTGCAGATTTTCATCCATCAGAACTCATTCCTGGTTCTGTTGGGTTCTTCAGCTGCAGACAATCGGTCTTTTCACCCAGTCAGGATTCAGTCTGCATTTCTTTTATTTAGAGACTGAAAGGCAACAAACTCCCAACACAAATAACTGACATGAACAGTGATAATATTTAGATTTTTGTTTTTTAATGTCGTAGATGTGAAACATTTAGGGTGTTTTTTAGTGTTTTTCTGGTTGTTCCTGCAGGAGCTGGTTTACTTTTATCCATGCATTCTGGGTTCATCTCTTCATATTTAGTTTTCACTTCACGTCCTGTTTTAAACTGCAGAACATGAGTGTTTGGTAGTTTTGAAATGAACAAATGAAGATTATAAATCTCAGTGAGTCAAACTCCAGCTGCTGAGCTGAAACTGGGTTACAGCAAACCTAAATTGAATTTTATTCGGACTGAAATAGGCTGTAATTTGATTAAACTGTAAATATAATGTGATTTAACAGGATGGATTTGGACTTTAACAGAGCTCCTCCTGAATTATCTGCAAACCAACAGGCTGCTGTAGTTCTGCAGTAAAATAAAGAGAAGTTAGATTTATTTATCCAAGCTTTCAGGATTTTCTGTTTAACCCGACGGGTTGTGTGTTTCAGGGCGGACACAGGAAGTCCCAGCAGACCGAACGAGACCGACATCCCTCCGGTTCTCCGTCACAGGAAGGGTTCTCGCCTCTCCGAGTCCTCGGTGGGTTTGCTGCTCTTCGGCCAGGTTAACGATGCAGCAGATCCTGCTGAATTATAAGAGTTTGTGTTTGTTTTCACCTCTTCCAGGACAAACAGAGAGCTGCACACAGGTCAGCTGAGAACCAGGAGTCTAACATGTGGTAAGAACTTAACGTTCTGCATGATGATGATGTGGAGCTGTCTTGTGTGATCGTATTTGTGCGTGCGAGGCTGCAGGCGACCTGCATCCCTTCGTTGGTTAATATTTGGTGTTTTGCAGGTGCAGGGAGAGCTGCGAGCTGTGTGTGCTGCTGCTGCTGTGGCTGCTGCTGTACTCCTTCCTGCTGCTGAAGCAGCTGGACCTGAAGACGCTGCCGGGCCTGCTGCTCAACCTCCGACGATGAACACGTACACACACACAAAAATAAATAAATAAATGAAAACCCACACAGAAACACACACAGACTGACCTGCCGTCCTCCTCCTCCTCCTCACTCTGGCTGATGCACCCGAGTTTAAATGAAGGCTTTTTCATTTTCATTTCAACGGCTTGTTTTTGTTTTATTTTGTAAAAAATACGGAGATATTTTGAAGAAGCAACATTTTTATGTGAAGATGAAGTCGACAGATGTACATTTACAGACTCAAAGTTTACAGAGTAAAAGAAGTAGATCTATCAGACTGAAGCTGAAGAGTTCTGCAAGTCAAACTCTTAAAATAAAGTTGTATTTTTACAAGAATATAAGACATGTTTAAGCTTTCCAAATCTATTCTTTATGTCTGAATCTTTAATTCTGTCATTCTGGTTAAATAAAAAAAAAAAGGTTTTAATTTTCCATTGTTTTGTAAGATTCCAGCTTTATATCTGAACGTTGRGATCTTTTTCTTCACCTGCTTCAGTTTGAGTCTGTTACTGATAAAAACCGCTGCTGCTGTTCACGTGTTTTAAATGACGTCACGTGTCGTTTTTATCCTGTGTTTCTGCTCTAGTTGTCTGTTTCAGTTTGGACACTTAAACCTCATCCAAAAAGGTAAAAAGGTTTAAGCCGTAGTGAGAAGCAGAGTTCTGAATGTGCCAATCTTTGCAAAGATTAAACCCTAAAAAAAAAACCGCCAAAGATAATGTTCAAACACACCGTCACTCATTTCACCAGCAGACAGACGGACAAACAGAAACTTGTTTGTCGTTCTGCAGATCAATAATAGGGAGTTCTGATATTTTGTGGATTTTTCTTGATTTTGATGTGACTGAGCTTTCATGTCAACACTTTCTTTTTAAATTTAGAATCATTTCTGTAAGAAATCGCAGACTGGTCATCTGCTCGTCATCTTAGCCGCTCCTCCGTCCACCAGGTGGCAACAGAGCGGAGCGGCGCTTCTAACTACATCACAGTGTGTGCCTGCTGCGTGGTTACTATTTATACAACCAGTTCTACACTGAACTAAACTCTGTCTCCAGCCACAACATTAAGACCACCTATTGGGCCTTCCCGATGCAAACCTCCGGGTCCAGATGTTTACGGTACCTCGACAAGTACCAGCTAATGCTAACCCCTCCGGCACTTCCAACACGATGCTCAGGAACAAAGTAAAAAATACAAGTTAAGAGGCAGAACGTCAAACAGAAGATGATTCCTGGGTTTGTGTTTGATCCGCGTGTTAAAGAGGTGGTTTTAATGTTCTGGCTGCTTTGTTGCACTGTCACACATGAAATTAATGAGTTTTTTTTTTGTATTAACAATAATAATTTAAAAAAGAAAAATCACAAAAATCATGTGTTTAAAATAATATTTAACGGTTGTGTGTGTAAACATAAAGTACTTTTTAAATCAGCAGAAAAACAGCCAGTGTGAGTGATTTATGGTATATTTTATGTATATTATTTACTGACTTGTAAGAATGTTACTGATGCATTAAAGTGCCCCTGATATGCTCATTTACTGACTCGTTTCTTATTTTGGTGCATTCTAAGTTTTACATACAGAAATGTAAAAGAACTTGTGTCTATTTTATTGCATGTGGTCTTAAATCTGAAGTACTGACGTTGGTACAGAACAAGTTAAAGGATGAAGAGTGTTGCCTATAAATTTTAAAATATAATTTATGTAATTTTGCTGCCATCTACTGCTGGTTTTTTAGGATCTCAGTCTTCATGCATGGCTCAGTTTCTGTCAGTTTCAGTGACTTTGTCAACACGATGGAGAAAAAAACTGTTTAAAAGTTCTGGTCAGGTGAGGAGGAAYGAGACACTGTGGGGGTGGGGTGGAGAGAATGTCCAGCTTGTATTTTTTTGTGTGTGTGTGTGAAATGTCTGATTTTATCTATATTTTCATAACTCGCAATATGTAATAAATACAGCCCAGCCCAGCCCAAAAAGTAATTTATTGCGGTCTTGTMTGTGTTCACATCGCCACGTTTAAGTCTGTTGAGATTATTTTTGCACTGAAAATAGGCAAATTCTGGTTCCTAATGTCGGATCCTGATAGTCTACTGTCTCTAAAACAAAACAAATCTTTTTTATTTCAATTTTTTTCATATTATATTTTTATTAGTAGTAGTCGTATCATTGCTAGTCAGTGTTAATTTCGTTTTTTGTGCATTGTCTGTAGTTTGTAAAGTAATTCATGTGTGAACCTCTGTACGGATGCTGCTCTGACACCAGTTTCCCCTCGGCGGGACAAAAGTCTGACTYGACTCTACTAACTCAAATTAAAGTAAAAAATATGTTATATTTTGTACAACCCATCAAGAATTTATATATATTTTTAAATCCCCACAGGTGCCCAGTACTTTTTACTGAAAACAGATAAAAATTAAACAACTAAAATCCAATTTATAAATTTTATTTACAAGCTTGTTTACCTAATAAAAACTCAAGTTTCTCAACAGATTAAAAAAACAACAGTAATTTCAGTTCATTTGCGCTTCATTGGGAGCATTTTTGTGATCGTCTTCTAGGACACTTTTCAGTTTTGGACCAGAATCAGTGCTCCCCCGGGACCCCGGTCTTGTGGCCCCCCGGCCCCCGGCCCCTCAGTAATCCCCCCTCCGCTCCTGAACTGTTGACGCTTTCAGTCAGAGGCGAAATTACCTCCTTACGCAGGACCTATATTCTCGTCCTCGTACGTAGAATGTCAGCGCTCTGCAGCGGTCGCCGCTGCGCAAACGGCGTAAACAATTTTACGTAGCAGAGGCCCAGGTGAAAGGAAGTGGTCCCCCGTGGACGAGTAGCCACGATTCGGGACAACGAGCCTGGATGGCACCGACAATTTCCACCGAACGAGTTCGCGTCTTTTCGTTTGAGACAATCAAGAGAAATTAAAGCTTCAGGTGAGGTTCCGAACGCAGGTTCCGTTGGGGGGTTTTCTGAACCGCTCCCCGGGTGGAAAGGCCCTGCTAGCTAGCTAGCTAGCTGTGTGTTAGCTCGCCTGACGTGATGGAGCGTGGAGCTGCGGTTCAGTCCACACGCTGCTGGTCTGGTTTATGGGCTCAGGCCGTGGGTTCGGTTCGACCATACTCTGTTCTGTGCGGGTCGCGTACACCCAAACGAACCGGGTCACTGCTGGGGGTCTACAACACAGAGGCGGGCCTCTTGCTATTAGCTGTGTGTGAATAACTCACTGCTGGTTCGAGTCTTGAATCCAGAGCTGGTTTGTTTCTGTCCGAACCGTTAGCTCAGAGTCAAATCAGGTTACCTSAGCAAGTAAAACACACCTGAAAACGAAGCTAGAAACCTAAAACCTGAACACCAGATTCTGTGATTGTTCTTTAATTAACGCAAATTGTCCCTCATGTTATATTAATGTGATAAACTCTTTTTATTTATYTAATTGGTGTGTAAACATTATGCTCATCTGTCTCCCTGTTTGTGCAGATCTGCAGGAGTGCTGCTGGTTGGTGCATGCTGACAGGTGAGAAGGTTGTAGATTAATGATGCAATGAGTCCAGGTGAGTCTGCAGTGTTCCAGAATGATGTTGTGTTTGCTTCTCTCAGGCTTGTTTCCATCTAAACGTGGGGAAACATCAGGAGTCGACGAGTTTTAATCTTATCATGAAGCCCAGATTAGGTGWTTCCTGTTTGTCTGCACACTCTCACCTGTTACCTGTGAGTAACTCGTTCCCCCGTTGCTGATCCTGCTGTTTGGATTCTGTGATCCTGATGTTTCTCTGTCCGGACAGTGAACTTTAGACAGGATGATGAAATGAGATAAGGGGACGTCTGGAGGAGCTCAGCCTCTTCGACCCCCTCCCCACCCCTGAAGCATGGCAGGCCTGCAGCTGGTCACCCCGGCCACTTCACCCATGGGGCCGTTCTTTGGTCTGCCGTGGCAGCAGGAGGCCATCCATGACAACATCTACACCCCCAGGAAATATCAGGTAAGACCAGTTCACCTGGTTTGAACCCACTTTAACACTGGTTTTCAGATCATTTCTTTAGTTTTTATTTGACTTCGTAACGTGGCCCACAGGTTGAACTTCTCGAAGCAGCTCTTGAACGCAACACTATTGTCTGCTTGAACACCGACTCAGGGAAGACTTTCATCGCAGTACTTCTAACTAAAGAGCTCTCCCACCAAATCCGGGGGAGCTACCAGGAGAACGCCAGGAGGACGGTGTTCCTGGTGAACTCAGGTGAGCTCGTGTTCCTCAGTCCCGTGTTTAGGATGAAAGTCCGTGTGTGACCGTGTGTTTGGTGCTGCGCAGCGTCGTCTGTGCTCCAACAAGCGGCCGCGGTCAGAACTCACTCGGACCTCCAGGTKGGGGAGTACACGGACTGGAAGGAGGCGTCGGCATGGACGGAGCAGCAGTGGAGTCAGGAGATCTCTGGGAATCAGGTACATGTCTTTGTTTTTTTTTTAAATGAGCTTTGAGTAGAGTTGCATCATATTTATGAACATCCAAGTTTAGATCTTAGGATGTTGATAATTATAATTTCTGTTTGAGATTGGAGTTAGTGTTTGAAGTTCTGAGGCATAAATGAGTTGGTGAGCAGCAGCATTTATGATGCAATCTCTTAGAGGGCTGCAATTGTCTAATTTCCCTCTGGGATCAATAAAGTATTCCTTGAATGTGAACAACAAATCAATAAAAATCCATTTAATAGTTTTGACAAAAAAATTCCAATATTGATTTGATGTGTCGAGCGAATTATGATGGTATTAATTTAACAATTAAGCTTTAAATTTTCATTTACTGATGATGTCTGAGCGAAGCCACTTGCTTTACTTGCTTTAAGTTAGTTCACACTTTTATTTCAGGTTACACTCTTCACACAAGAACACAATTTTACAAAGCTCACAGACAGAAAATATGAAGAGACTTTGAAGGATAGAACACACATTTGTGGATATTTTTTGTGTACATTCATTATTTTACTACAAATATTTACTCATTTATGCATTACAATTTAATATTCTATATAACCTGTTTTTGTGTGATTAGAAATGTCAGTCCAAATGCTCTATTTTGGAATAAAGAGGTTAAAATTAAATCGTTTTTGTTTTCGATTCATYGATTAATCAGAAACAGAAAATTGAATGAATAATCGATTACTATAATAATCGTTAGCTGCAGCCCTTATCTCTAAAAATGTTATCCAATGTTCGCAGGGCTTCTTAAATTCCTTTTGTCAACTGAATTTATACAATTTATTTATAAAGCCCTTTAAAACTCATTCGAAGGAACAAAGTGCTGCACGATAAAATWCAGTAAAAACACTCACTAAAAGATGAAAAGCATAAAAACTAAAAGAAAAACTGATGGAAAACTAAAAAAAATAACATCAGAAGATGAAGCAAAATCCAGTGAATCAAAGTRTGTTTTAAGGAATGATTTAAAAGCTGCTAATGAGGACATGTTAACGAGGTTTGAGAGACAAATTTACTCAGAAAAAAAAAAAAAATCATCTGGCTGCAGACGTGAAGCATCCCAGAATCTGACCAACAACCCTCCTGTTCAGGTGCTGGTGATGACGTGTCACATCTTCCTGCACGTCCTGCGCAGCAAGATCTTACCTCTGTCTAAGATCAACCTGGTGGTGTTTGATGATTGTCACCTGGCCATCACAGATCACCCGTACGGTGACATCATGAAGGTGAGACCGAGTCCAAACGTCCCGTCCTTCATGTAACAACCTCCTGTGGTAACGTGTGTGTGTGTGTGTGCGCGCAGCTGTTTGAGGAGTGCACATGTGGTCCTCGAATCCTGGGCCTCACTGCTTCCATCCTCAACGGGAAGTGCGACCCGTCAGAACTGGAGCAGAAGATCCARAATCTGGAGATAATCCTGAAGAGCAAAGCTGAGACGGCCACCGACCTGGTGGTCCTTGACAGGTACGAGCAGACCAGGGTCCAGTCTGAGGTGGGAGTTCTGGTTAACTGACGAACGTCTCTTTTCAGATACGCCTCCCAGCCCAGGGAGGTGGTCCTGGACTGTGGTCCCTACAAGGATAAAAGCGGCCTGTCGTCCCGTTTGCAGGCAGAGCTGGATGAAGCTCTCCACTTCCTCAATGACTGCAACATCCGGGTGTCCCGAGAGGACCGGGACCCCACGTTTATCTCCAAACAGGTCAGAACCCAACAAAGATCTGTGTCTCCAACTCCTGGTTTRTCCTGTGTGACGCAAGGAGGTTCTRTAGAACAGCTGGAGTGTGCAGAAACCAGGTGACCGTGTGATCGGCTGGAGAAGCTAACGGCTAACGCTAAACGGGCAAGACTCTGGATTTCCCATTACTGTACATGTTGACAACAGAGCAGAAAAAAAGGACTGACGATGTAGAAATCATTAAAACTATTAATAATAATATTAATCCAATCAATATTTTACAGTTTATATAATCTATCTAATGTTTTAAATAATGTCAGAAAATCTGTTTGGATTTATTAACAGAAGATAAACAGGAAAACGTCTCATTTTACAACAAGTCAGCAGATTTGAT